ACCAATTGGACAAGACTATTGAAACCTTTATATTGTGTTGATGTCTTTTATCCAGCCTTTTTTAGGACACAGTACTACTAACTAGAAAAAGATCTCTCTCTCTCTCTCTGTGGCATCACAATGGCGTCACTTGCGCTTTTACATGTCTGAATTTGACTATGATGTGAACTATCTGCCTTGGCATTTTTGTGACAATAGCTAAACCTGTTGCAGCAACTGACGACCAGGGAGGTTTTGACGATGGAATTTTGTTATGGACACAAGGTAAATGATTAATCCTTATGCTAACTTACGTATACAAAGATTATGTTTGCGCATCACTTATCTATCACTAGGTTTGTTGTGGAATTCCTAGAATTTCATGATGCAATTGCTTGGTTGCTTAACCACCTAAACCATGTGCCAAAATATCGAAAACAAGACATATATATTCCATTACTTAAAATATTATGGAGGAAAAATAAAGGGAGGTCAGCCTGAAGAGAAGGAAAAGAAGAAGCAATCTGAAATTACTTACTACTCCCTTTTGTTCTTCTGTTGTGACAGGTTAATGACTTGGACTTCCTGCGGAAAACAGATATTAGTCCTACAAAGGTCTAGCTTGACTCTGACATTAATCTATTTTTATGTCATGAATCATTTGATTGAAGGCTTTTTTGTGTGTATATACATATACATATACATATTATAAATATGGTAAAAAATCTTGACGTTAATGTATTTCTCTATCTAAATGATTTCATCAAAGACTTTCTTGTGTGTATACACATTCAATTTTGGCAAAAAAAAAAAAAAAAACAAAACTTCAGCCAAATTCATAAATTCACTAGATTTCTACTCAGCCCTCGTTAAATTGTTAAGTTCACCCAGCACCAGCTGGTTCACCAGAAGACAGAAGCTTGACCTGCTGAGGGAAGGGCGCACAATATATTTCAACACTCTCTGTCACTAAGGTCCTCATGCCTCTGCCATAGTCTGGGATAGAAATGGTCTGCAATTGTTCCTTTTATAAAATTGTGTTAGCCAAGTACTAAACCAGGGTCTTTTCTCTAGTACCATGTTGATTCATGCACCAACCCACCCAAAATCTAAAGTTTGTTGAGGAAAGGGTGGACTAGTGGTGCACAAATGTAAGAAATGAAATACTACTTTATTATAATTCTCTAGTTGTCCTTATCATCATTCTGATGAACTTCAGCCAGTATGTATAGCATTGATGTTGCTACCATACACTCCTTGTGATGGTAACTTGTACTGCTTGTTGCTTAACCACATATTTGGTTGCATGTTTGGAACGGCGTATGGATTTTCATCCTTTGTGGCACCGAAAAAGGGGGGTTGTTATTTTTTTGGTATTCTTTTACATAAGAATACTTAACGGTTATATCAATAAAATGTATAGTCATTAATCAGGACTGTATTACCTGAAAGCATGACACCATCTAAAGTTCTAAACTATGCACATTTTTTCTTATATTTTGTCATTTATTTCTGTAACTTAATGTTACCTATGTCTCTTTGTACTTGGTAAAAAAAAATTCACCTGCCTTTCTATCTTCCAGGTAGCTAAGGCTTTGATTGAACTCTTTGGTGAAATGATATTTGTACATGGTTTTGTTCACGGTGATCCACATCCTGGAAATATATTAGTTTCTCCTCAAGGCCATGGGAAATTTTCACTAGGTACTAATTTTGCTCCTGAACATGGTATTGTTATACTTACCTATAATGATTAGACACTTAAATATTACAAGGAATTAAACTGTACATGCTATAAACAGTAGTGAAGAAATACTACTTGCATTGAAGAAGGTGGTTACCCCTCATTATATTTCTGCCCTTCAGGAATTAACACATGAAACTCCCTTGAAACTTTTGATCGTCACAGGACTCTCTTTACCTAGTAGATTTTGTCAGTGTAGTCAGTAGTGCTACTTATCCCGTGCAGTCATGTGGAAATGTTTGCATAAAAATTACTTTCCTTATATTAAATACCTATGGGAAAATTTCACCCCAGGCCCCAGTTAGGTTTCTTGTCCACGTTGCATCTCCTGCCTGTAAACGGCTAATTCAATCAGTCCTGAGACAAACTGGTCAATTCATAAATAGGAGATATCAAAATATATGTTTTCTTGGATGGATTGACTCTGAAGGGCAAATCTTTATTATCACTTAGACTTGAATGTTACTAAAAACGCTGTGAGTTGGGTTTTCACTGGTTTATGTGGGCCAAAATAAAAACTGGCATCGCCTAGTTTTGATGCACTTGTTGTCATAACCATTGTACTGGTTCACTTATAACTGGTTTCAGAAACCTCAAATGTAATTTGTGCCATATATTAATTAACAACACAAGATACAAAAGTAGGAAAACTCATAATGATAAATGTATCTGGTATTGTTGAATATGAATTCCACTTGTTTCTTTTGTTTCTCGTACTTCATTGATATAGTACTCATAAGGGCCTGTTCGAGCCATACATTAAAATGAACTAATTTGCATTGACAACTAAACATTTCAAATTTGATTCTTCTGGAATCCCCAGCAATTGCAAATGTATTGTTGAATATGAATTCCACTTGTTTCTTTTGTTTCTAGTACTTCATTGATATAGTACTCATAAGGGCCTGTTCGAGCCATGCATTAAAATGAACTAATTTGCATTGACAACTAAACATTTCAAATTTGATTCTTCTGGAATCCCCAGCAATTGCAAATGACAACCTGTGCAATGAGGCATTGCTCTTTTTGGAGCAGAGCCCTCTTCCTGCTTTTGAAAAGGCGCATATTTAGTTCTTCATAAAATCTTTTGAATCCTTATAAGGGGGTTGATAGGAGGCTAAGGGACTAAAGCTCCCAAAAAGCAGTACCAGGCATTTGTTCTTGTGGGAGCATCTTGTTCTCCACTGGATGCTATCTTTATTTATTATTATGGGGTTGTAGGGCTTGGAGGGAGCTAATGGGAGAACTCACCGTTGTGTGGAATATGCGTTCACCTATTCTATTTTGTAGAATCTGTACATCTAAAATGGTGTATGGCTTTTGCAGTTCTGTTGGATCATGGAATTTATAGAGAATTGGACCAAAAGTTCAGATTGGACTATTGTCAGCTATGGAAAGCACTGATATTGTTGGATGCGAATAAAATTCAGGAATTAGGTGAACAGTTTGGTGTTGGCAAATATGCAAAGTACTTTCCTGTAATATTCACAGGGAGAACTATAGAAAGGTAAAGGTTTATTTCTCTTATATATACCATGACACACTAATCATTATCATTCAGCAATAAATATTAGAAAGTTTGTCTCGTCAGCATTCATAGGGCATCATTCTTGAGACAGGAATAAAAAATGATAAGCTCATGCTACACAATTTAATTCTTATTGCAAGTGAAGCCAATGCACACATATCCAAATGGGTAGAAATTATTTTTAATCAGTTGTAAACAATGTTCAAATTTAGTTTCAAATAGGACCGTATAAAGGAAAAAATGAGTCAGTATCGGTTATTTTTTCATTAATGTATTTAGTATTTATACTGTATGTGAATGGATGGAGCCTGCATTGTCTGTTCCACTAAAGTATTGAACTAGAATTAACTTCCGTAGAACTTTCTATGATTCCTAGTTTGATCCAAAAAATTTGCCTATGGATGGTTTCTGTGTGATTATTTTGATGTGAAACTTATGCATCCTTGGTGTACCTCGTGTGCTTGTAGCTGTTGTCACAGTCTATTTCCTGATTCCGAGTAAACTATGTTTGCCATAATTATCAGCAAGTCAGCTCTCGGCACACAAATGTCTGGTGAAGAGCAGAGGCGTTTGAAAGAGGAATTAAACTCTCTAGGAATGGATGATATATCTTCATTTATGGAATCCTTGCCACCGGACTTTTATGTCATACTGCGAACAGAGTAAGGAAATTGTTGTCAGAGCACATCACGTTATTGCTGTTAACTTCACTCTTGGGGTTCTTGGGGCACCACCAGACTTTTATAAAATATTTTATCTCAATTCCAGCGGACTATTGAGGTCCATTTTAGGGAATCTTGGGTCACCACGCCATGTTCGGCTTCTCACTTATGCAAAATGTGCTATACATGGCCTTGAGAAACAGCCCAAAATGGAGTCTGGTATGTCTTAAGTCAACTGGAAATAGTATTCCTATCCTAGCTTACAGCCTCTTAAGGTCTTGGAGATGTTCAATTGTGTTCAGGTGCAATCAGCAGTATGTTCTTGAATGTCAAAACAAATGTGAGCTATCTCCGTCTGAGAGTAATTATTGGTGAGTAACGACACCATCACTGCCCTAATGTTTCAAGTTTGTATAGCACTCTAACATGTTTGCTAACTAAAAACTGCTCTCAGAAATAGTGGGATTGTTAGCGAAAGCAGATGGTGCCAAGCAGAAGGTCGTGAACAAACTCAGACAGATGTTACAGGAGATCAGTCAAGGTTTTCATCTCCTTATGTGATGTCCAGGAGTCAGGGACGTGGTGAAAAGTTTGAGGAAAGTGGGGGAAGTGCGTCAGCAGTTGAATCATAACTGTGGTTCTTAATTGTAGTTTGTGTCAAGGAGTCAAATCATAACTGTGATTGCTCTGTTGTAACTGATAAATCGTACGTTGTAGCTGCTGGCTCCGGTGGTAAATCTTTTGGGGTTGGACCATGTACAGTTCATTCTCAAAGTGTCTGGCAAAGAATTAATTTGTGTAGTATGATAAAAAAAAATACTGCCACGAGAACCAAAGCTCAGCTACTGAAGGTTTGCCTCAAAACAGCACATAAGAGCAGATAATTGTTGTATATGCAGTCAATGATTCTGCAGCATTGACATTTCTGGTCCTACAAAATTTCAGCCGGTCTCAGGCTTTCAGCAGTTAAAAACATATTAGACTGATTGCCATACACTACATGAAATCCTGAACCCAGAACTAGCAAAAGCCTAGCAACTAGCATGCACCAGTGTCGGTGTGAAAAAAAAAATACATTGCCTAGAACTTAAGCCACTCTAGATTGCCAGGCCTTAGCCATCTTCTTCGCGAGGTATTGAGCAGCAACTGCACCACCAGAGGCGAGCAGACCAGACACTGCTTGCCGCACACTTGAAACCATTACTCGGCGCCTCAGGGCCCTCCGTACACAGTTTGCTGCCATGTCCTTTGAAGAAGCTATGGTGCGTGGTGGTATTTCTACAGAAAAATTGTCTGCAGTGAGAATGTGCTATGGAATGAACAAGGCTACAAGGTTGACGAGAACATCAGGGTAATCCAACCTTTTCCATGCAATGTGTGTCTTCCTTGCATTTGCCTTTGGATCGTCCACGGAAGAACAGAGAACAGTTCATTTGTTGTAGATGGACCACAATCCTGTAGACACGTGACTCCAATAGTTAGAATTCAAACCAAACATACAAAGTACACTTATCAAGTATGTCAGTTGTCTATGCAGGCTCCAAAGTTATACTCCCTCCGATAACATTAGGACATTGGCATGGTCTCTAATGTTGCACTGGCAAGTTATATCTTTATAAGAAATATATCATTTCAAATCAGAAGTTTTATATTATGGAAGTATGTTTCATGACGAATCTAGTAACATTAATTTAATGTTATTACTCTGTATAACTTTTTAGCTATTGATAATCAAATTTAAAATAGTTTGATTTAGGACAAAACTAAATGGACTTATATTTGGGATCGGATGGAGTAGTTACAATTGCTACTAGGATGGGAATTCACACCAAATTTCAAAAGTGGTAAAAAAGTCTTAGCATAGCAAAGGTAAGAAGAATAAGGCAGTACGGCAAGTGCAAAAGAACATGAGCACACAACATGCTACGACCTTTAACATGTCTGAATCCAAGTACTAGTAGGATAACAAAGTACACAGGTCGCATAGTTGTGCGGTCCACAAAGAATGGTGAAAGCCAGAGGCTAAGCACTTCCATAGTTTTGGCCCTGTTCGCTTCTCTTATAATCTGTACTTTTCAGCTTGTTTTTTCAGTAGGAACAATGTTTTTCTCTCACAACAAATCAGTCGGAACAGTGTTTCGGCTTGTTTTTTCAGCGAAGCGAACGGGTTTATCTCTTTGAACAAACTGTGAGTATGAGCAGAAGGTAACAAACCTGCCGGAAAGTCTTATACTGTCCATGGGATGATGTCTTCAATAGCCCTTCAGCAATATACTCTTGCAAGAGGGGTCTGTACATCAATTGAAATGACTGAAAACTACCCTCAACAATCTTCTTCACCTGATATATAGTAGGAATTAAGTATGAAACTTTAAACCAAATAGAAATACCATTAACACACTGTCTTATCCTAAACTTGTAGACAAGAACAAAAAGTAACTACAAAACAATAATATAGACGATGTTGGAACCCAGTATGCAGATCCAATAAAAGCAACAGAATTTAAAGGCTAAGCTCTCAAAGGACTAATTGTCAATTATCTTATCAGTCCCTCCTAGGAAAATCAATAGCTACCAACCAGTGTATTTTGCTCATCACAGTGAAAACAGTAATCAAATAGTATGCGGTACCTAGATGTATGTTCCATTATGCCACAGTTAAGGGCACCACAAACATAAACGGTGACATGGTCAAATGGACCACATTTGAACAAAAGAGTATTAAAGTTAAATACTTTGTAGCATGCTATAATCCATTTGTTCGTGATTGAGTTTGCAAAGGATAAGAAGATGCCATTTTCAATTTAGAGAAGTACATAAATGAGTTGCTTTTGGATGTGCAAAACAGACAGGAGCACTTTTGTCTTTGTGAAGAATGATGTAATATTAAATCGAATTCAAATGATCACTGAGTATAGAGCAAAGGTGAAACATGCATTTCTTTTGTTGATACCTTATCTTTGTCTTCTGCAAACAGCATTCTCAAATCACCCATATATGATAGACTGCAAATTTGAGCGTATAGGTCGTACTGCACAAAGAGGGATAAAAGAAGGAAGATCAGAAATTCAGAATCAACTACAAAACAAAGAAAATAATTTCATGGCAGGAAACATCAAGTTAACAATAACCTCAGCGAACTCTTCTGGCAAAAGGAGTAGAGAAGCTGAAGTTGCCATTTCTAGGTTAATTGAGTTGACCTTCCTTATATCCCAGTTGTCAACAAGAACATGAACCTACCAAAATACAAAGAGAAAATCAACTAAGATAATGTCAACTTCGCAATGCAAGATATCCATATATACACATAAAAGGCACTACAATTGTGCAGTGAGCAACTCAATACTAGGCAGCCAGTGAATATAACATCAACCAGGAAAACAAATAAATATAATAGCTACACGAATATAGTCCATATCAGGCAAAATGTGTAGTCACAGCCACAAAAGATAACTGGAGCCAGTCTAAAAATGAGACAAGAACATATAAAGTGCACAATCCCAATCTAGCAAAACCAGAATTATGTGATTGTACATTTGAAGAACAGGGCATTTCACATTCATACCGGTTTCTGCAGCCGGCCACTGAGGTAGAACCTGTCCCAGGTCAAGACATCCATCGCCAGGTCCCTCATCCTCACCACCCCATACTTTATCCTCTGCACCACCAAAACACAAAATTTTCTTCAGCGAGTACTCAATTCACGCACAGCCAGTGGAACACAATGCCCTCGAACACAAGGCGCAGCCATTCATGGTACCTTGCCTCTCCACTCCACAAACGGGTTGAAATACACCCCGACCCCAACACGATCCGCCAGCCCAGTAATCTGAGCTCGAAAGACCAAGAAACAGTCGACCATTCACACAGTAGCCAACAGCAAACAGGAAAGACTGCGATGGTGTTGAGGAGGCGGCTTACGGCTCCTGCACCGAAGCTTGACATCCAGCGGGAGTAGTGCGCGGGGTTCCTTTCCAGGTTCTGCACCGACCAAGAAACAATTCCGTCAGGATAACATCAGTTTAAGAATATGAACCAATTTGACGGATGACCAAACTGAAAGGAGGGAGGCGAGAGAGATGGTTAGGTTCCTAGCACCTCGGAGTGCCACTGGAGGGGGTCAGCGACGCCGAGGATGTAATCGACCATGGACGTCCCGTCGGGGCGCGCGTGTAAGAGCGTGGAGCCGTACGCGCAGCAGAAGTCCACCGGCGGGAGGAGGTCGCGGAGCGGGCCGGCCAGCTCCGCCGCCCTCTCCTCCTCCGCCACCGCGTTCATTTAGGCGCGCGCTCGTTGGTTGCTGAGAGGCGAGAATTTAGACTAGGGGACAGGGGCGCGGTGGTCGCCGGAGGAAGGAGGGAGACGGCCGCCGTCGGCAGCGGCGTGGGTTTACAACGGCGGGTGGAGATGGGGAAGGCGGTGCTGAATCTGGGCCGTTGGCGATAGGGTCGACGGTCTGCATTGGACGCCTTGCAACAAACAGCCCAAGGCCCCAAGTAGAGCCGACTCCTAAGCATTTTTGTTTCATATATACTTCTTGTACTCCAAGGTTAATTAAGGCAATTAAAAAAGCATTTTTGTTTCTTATTTTCTTATATTATGCCGAATTGTTGATCTTATTTTAATCTCTCTATTCAAAATTACACCATGTAGTTTATTTTGAAAGTTCATACTTATATAATTTCCACCAGAAATTAGTTAGATTAAAAGTATTTTAGTATACAAAAACTATGCAACTAGATTCATTTAAAAATATTCACATTTTTCTAAATGTTTTCTTATAAAAACAATGGTCACAAGACTCAAGTACAATTTTGAGATAAAATAAAATGCGCGTGAAATAGCTGGCTAATTCAATGTCACATGTGGCATCCCTCACCTTTTCATCAACTTGAAGTTTTTTTCGGCGTGGCTAGCGTCCGGACCCGCGCGGCCTGCATCCGTCCGCCTCGCTCCGACTCGCACGTGTGAAAAGGTTCTTATTTGGTTTTGGTAATTAAGTGACAACATACGTGGACTAATTGTGTTTAATGTGAGACACACAGATAATTAGCCTATAGGTACATGTATGTAAGCAACATATGCCATGGAGGTGAAAATGGTTCGGAGATGTTGCAAAGCTCACACATGTGATGAAGGAGCTCATTGCATATGAGACATGACATTGAGTCATGTGACTAAGGTGGAGAACATCAAGATAAGACTTGGCTCTACGGACAGGTTGCAAGTGTGAAGGGCAAGTTGAGTGATGACTTGCGCCGATGGATCGAAGCAACGAAGAAGAACAAGTGAAGTCAAAATCGATGGACCAATACGGTCATGTGATGATATGAAATGGATCATATCATTTGTGATTGGTTGGTGCATGTGTTGCATCAGCATTGAAAGAGATGGAATAGAATGCACAAGACAAAGGTATATTTGTAGGGCATTTTATTTCACCGGTCAAAGGTTGTGTAGAGAAGTACATGACCGGGTTTAGGATAGATGGCCGTACTATTAAGAGGAGCAAACTTGTTTGCATATCGGTCATCTAGTGCCACTTGAGCAATCTAACTTTGCATACGTGTTAGGATCAAGTGGCGTTGTGAAAAGAGTGCTAATCCTTTGGGAAATATTTGTGAAAAGCTAACACACATGCACAAGGTGGTGTTCTGTGGGGGGTACGACCTCGGATACCCATGGCAGACCACATGGGCTGCACCCTTAGGGGCGGCCCAGCCCACAAGATGAAGTCTTGCGGGGCACGACTCTTCTCGGCGCCTCCCGCAAAACATCTGGAAGATATCTTGAAGATACTACGAGATCTGTTAGGATATGTATGATCCCAAGATTCATGTAATCAGTTATTACTTTCCGGTTATCTCTCATATCTAACCGACTTGTAACTCTGCTCCCCGGACTATATAAGGCGGGCAGGGACCCCCTCCAAACACGCGCAATATCATACGATAGCTAAAACAAACCAACAGACCACAGGAGTAGGGCATTACGTCACACTGACGGCCTAAACCTGTCTAGCTCGTGTGTCTCTGTTGCCTTCTTGTTCTTGATCTCACGCCCCTCTGTTGATCAATCTACCTTCGTGGGATACCCCTCGGAGGACTGCTGACGATATTCTATCGACAGTTGGTGTGCCAGGTAGGGACATGCGTGCTGTTTCCTTATCGAACAAGATGGCTTTTTCCGTAGGCTCTTCGTCCCTCCCGCAGCCTGGCCAGATCTTCACGGTCGGATCGATCTCCTGGATCATCAACGCTGACGAAGTCGGAGAGCTCCTCGAGCCGGTGCAGATCGATTCTGTGCTGATCATCCCCGTACCTGCATCTGCAAATCTGATCTCGGAACCACCTCTGAGGTCGCCTTCATCAACAACCCGCCGCCCGCTTCCTCACTACTAGAGGAGGCAGATAAACAACGACGATCTGATCGAGTCCATCGATCGGGTCGGTCTGAAGCTCGCCGATTGTCTCTCCGTCACCGAATTGGCTCTGGACACTTTGGTTCAGCGCCGACCACCCTCCGATCCGAATCTATCGGAGGCTGCTCGGAAAACTCCAGGAGTTGCGGCGCTGCCCTCCGGGTTCACCAACATCGCCGCCACCTACCAAGACACCCTGAGGGGCAAATTCGCCGACCAAGTGGGATGCACCCATCCACTCGCCGACCAGATCGCCGTCCAGCCTTCGCCAGCCGTCAACATGCTACACTTAGGTCGGTGCCCCGGAGTGTCCCTCCAGACCATCCCAGAGGAAAACCCAGGCTCCGAGTCTCAGGGCTCTACGGAGACCCTCGCCGAGACCTTCTCCGAGCAACTCCTTCTCCCACCCTTCCGGGGTGGCGCGATCTTCAACGTCAGCGTCGACAGCCCTCCTCGGAATGGCGAAACCGAGGAGGAACGCGTCGCTCGTGAGAACCGGAACGTCAACCGCGCGCAGCGCCGATAAAACGAGGCAGCCAATGCGAGGGCTGATGCTGCTCGAAATAATCGGTTCGACTCACAAGGAAGGCCACTCCCACTCCACCGTGACCTCGACGAAGAGTTTCTCCGCATCGACGACCACGACATCTTCAAGACTCCAAGCGCCAATCTGGCAGTGGCTGCCAATGAGCTTGCCCGCCTCTCGCAGACGCCCGAGCTCGCCAAGGTCGCCGCCATGCTTAAAGCGGCACATTGTCAGGTTAATGAGATTCGAGAGGATCAGAGACCTTCGTGCTCTACGAGCACGATTCGCCGATCAGCTGCGCCGAGGTCTAATTGCCGCCCCAGTCAAAGCTATTTCACCGACCAGTCGCTGCCCCTCTAGGGGGGGGGCCGGGCCACCACGCCGAACACCAACGCCAACACGACTAGGAGGTCGAACAGGACGCTCGAGTGCACCTCAGCAACCTCCGGGATGCACGACGGCGTATCAAGCAATGTCGCTTCGGTCGCCATGAAGACGAAGTACGTCGCCGCCAGGAGTACGAGCTAGAGTACGGCAACCCAGACTCAGCTCTCAAGCCGCCCACCGACGGCAACACTGCAGACGACGGCGCTGACAACCCCGAGGGGCCCCCAGCTTTCACAAGGGCACTCCGAACACTTCGATGGCCCCGTGGTTTCAAGATCACAGGGGTCGAGCCCTACGAAGGAAGGATAAACCCAACACAGTGGCTGCAAGCTTATGCCATTGCTGTCCGCGCCGCCGGAGGAGACACCAGTGTCATGGCGAACTATCTTCCCATCATGCTCACGCCTGCTGCCATGAGCTGGTTTACAAGTCTTGCCCCGAATTCCATCGGATCCTGGGAAGAGCTGAAAAAAGTTTTCACCGATAATTACATGGCTACGTGTACTCGGCCCGGCACCAAGCATGATCGGAACCGCATCAACCAGAAGCCGTCCGAACTCCTCCGCAGCTACATCCGATGCTTTTCTGAGATGAGGAATTATATCCCCAACATCATGGAAGCTGAGGTTATCACCGCCTTCATTTGAGGACTCCATCACCGCGAGCTCCGCTCCAAGTTCAATCGCAAGACGCCAACAGGGATTGGCGAGATGATCACAACCGCCAACCAATACGCCGACGTCGAGGAAGCTGAGGCGCACTTCAACAAGGATGCTGGCACTCATCGCCCAACTCACCGCTACGACGACCGCCCCGACGACCGATGCCACAACGACAGTCGTTTCGACGACCGCAGTTATCATCGTGACAGCGGTCGTGATAGGCCAGAAGGACCCAAGTCTAGCCAAAACCGCCACCGCCGGCCAGACCACATCATCGGCGCCGTCACTGAACCTCGGGCCAAGCGCAATTACGATGAGCAATACAAGAAGATCCTCGATGGCCCGTGCCCTCTCCACAAGAACGCCAAACACAAGATGAAGAACTGCCTCAGCTTGGCTAAGGAGTTCTAGGACAAGAAGCTGGACGACGACGCCAACGATGGAGCTGGAGGCTGCCGACCACCTAGGGGCAACAACAATGCTTTCCAGGATCACGACAAGGTGGTCGCCACCATCTTTGGGGGCCTCGCCTCCACCGAGAGTAGAAGAGAACGCAAGCTCACTGCTCGACGGGTGCTCGCCGTCACTACGGAAGACACCACCGCCAACCCCAGCTATCGCCCATGGTCCGAGGTCCCCATCACCTTCAGTAGGGCCGACCAGTGGGCGGATATTCCCTACACAGGGCATTTCCCCTCATCTTGGACGCAACCGTCTAGAAGGTGCTCTTCAGAAAAGTGCTCGTCGACGGGGGGAGCGCTCTAAATCTCCTCTTCGCCGGAGCCCTAAAGGAGCTGGGCCTCGGTTTGTCAGATCTCACACCTTCCGACTCCTCCTTCTAGGGTGTGGTACCTGGCAGGGCCTCCAAACCGCTTGGAGAGATTACCCTACCAGTATAGTTTGGCACAGCAAGCAACTACCGCGTCGAACACATCAACTTCTACGTCGTCGACTTCAACACCGCCTACCATGCCATACTTGGTCGGCCAGCTCTGGCCAAGTTCATGGTTGTACAACACTATGCGTATCTGGTGCTGAAGATGCCATCACCTACAGGAGTTTTGGCCCTGCAGGCCAACCTCTCCATCGCCTACGCCTACGAGACAGAGAGTCTCGCCCTCGCCGAAGCTACCGACCTCTTAATTCAGATGGCTAGTGTGGTCACCAAAGCCAAGACGGTGTCCACCGATGACATGGAGATCCCAAAGCTGGAGCCTCCTCGTGCCTCCGCCAAGTCCAAGGAAGTCAAGGAGGTCGGCCTCAGCCTCGGCCTCGACGACCC